AAAAGTCACATGCCAGGAGACCTTCGGAAGCTTAGAGTTTATTCCAGCTGGGGCGGAATAAACTTTTAACTCCCGAAGGTCTCCTGGCATCTGTGGTATTGTAGTGCATGTTAGTGGTGTGTTTAAGTGGTGAAGATATGACAAGGAAGAGGTAGGAAAGATTGCGTGCGGACCTCGGCCCGTTTGTTAAAGTACTGCACCGGCATTCCCCTCATGTTGATCGGAGAAACCGCGAAAAAAACTACCGATCAGAGCAGCCGGCTGCTAGAATTTTCCTCCAGACGGCGACTGAATTCGATCTAGCTAACAAGCTAGTGCTGAAAATCCTACCACCGTCGGGACTCGAACCTAGGACCTCCCTGTTTGAGAGACTGCAGTGACATCAGATGCCTTGCGCCATCTCTCCCAGGCCCTGTTTCTGGGAAATTGCGTGCTCCAAATCAAGGATGAGCAGATAATTGCGAAGTAGAGATTGCCACTACGTGCTTCTCATGTTTCATAGAGACCGAAGATCAAATTTTGATATTTCTTACATTCTTACGTCAGGGAATTACTTACATACTATAGGGCATTGTCTTATCGAGCCTTCTGCTCCCTAACGAGAAACATACAGCCCTAGATCAGGGACACAAAATTCGGGACCTACTCGTGAAATCCCGCCACCTCGTGAGAATAATTTTGAGGAATGTGATGCGATGAACATGTGATCGGCTTGTGGGTTTATTTCTCCTCCAGTATCTACCCCAGTAGAAGACTATACCCACCAGAACAAGCTCCAGCCTGGCAAACTGACGTTCAACCAGTGTTGTAGTGAGGTGAAGTATTGTGTTGTGTTTTTTTTTTTTTTTTTTTGTTTTTACGTGGGCGGGGAAACATCTTCTAAAGACACAGCGGGCCCGCAACCCAGCTGCTGTGTGGGATCATCAGCTAGCTATGCTCTACCACTAAAACCTCCTCCCTTTCCTCCTATTCCTTCCGCGGAACAGCCGTCAGGCAGTTGCATCGCGAGAAGGAAGATGTGGCTTTTCGCACCGTAACCGAAATATTCGGGTGGAGCTTTCTTGTACTGCGCTCCTCGGAGCGGGCGTCTTCAGGACCTTTTGGCGCATAGGTGGCTACGCACTCCAATTCTCTTGTGTCCAGCAGCATCCTAAGTGACGATGGTCCTCAGGGTCGATTTCCTCTTGGAGGAGTCGGTGAAGTTCTTCCCTTTCCACTTGTGAAGCCGTGGACAATGAAAAACACGTGTTCTACATCTTCAATCGCCGAAACACCTTGAGCATGAGCAGCTATTCGTCCAGCCGGATCGGAGCTGATACTGCGGTAACATCCATGCCCTTCAGCATCTGAGTTAGATAAAATCTAATTCTCCATGTTCCCTTTGAATCCACGTCATGATGTCGGGAATGACCCGAAATGTCCATCGCCCAGTTGATGATTGCTCCCATCGGCGTTGCCATTGGTCCATTGTCACCCCCCTCTCTTCTTTCGTAATGATATTCCAGTTTGAGGCCCCTCCCGCTTGCGGCAAATAGAGTCTAGCTCCTCCTGCACAATGAGGTCGATCGGAGGCATATCTGCTAACACACACAGCATCATAGGAATACGGTGCGAAAACGCTCGAGCAACCCGCAAGGCGGACCTTCTATGCACCGACTTAGCCCCACGGGCGTATGACTTGAATGCCCATGGCATCAGCCCAAACAGGGGCTGCGTAGAGTAGAATGGAATTTACTAACGCTAGTCAGCAGCCCCGGCTTTTCTGCCCAGGACCCCCTACATTAGGCATAATGCGTGGCAATGCGGATGCCATACGAGATGCTTTCTCGAGACATTGCGCAGGTGCTCGTCAAAGCGCAGTCTCGCGTCAATATGCACTCCCAAATACCTCAGTGACAGCTGCGAGGAATTTTGCAGCCTCCTACATTAAGAGTAATACTCTCTTCTCACTTTTTGCCCGTCACCAGCACAGCCTCTGTTTTTGAGCGGCCATCTGTAGCCCTACCGAGTAAAGCACGCCGCGATCTCCGCCACAGCCTCGTTGGCAACCTGCGTGACTTGCTCGATGTATTTGCCGACAACGACAATTGCAACATCGTCAGCGAATCCAATCGTTTCTTGCGCCTTCCGCAACTCGAGCTTCAACACGGCGTCATACATAATGTGTCCACAACATCGGACCAAGTACCGAACCTTGTGGACACCGCCTGTGACCGTATAAGATTTGTACTCCAGACACATTTTCATATAGGAGGACTCTCTCCTTAAAGTAACTTTTTACCAAGTTCGAGATGACCTTGGAACTCCAAGAGTTTGTAGCGCCGAAGAATGGAGCTCCACCTTGCGTGTTAAAGGCGTTTTCACGTCTAGGGTCACTATAGCACAATACTTAATAGGACCGCCTTTCCATCGTTTGCCGTCAATGGCCTTGCGTGCGATGTCGATGACTGCATTAATAGCATCTACCGTGGATCTCGCTTTTCTAAAGCCGTACTGATTATCACACATCCTTGAGGCCCCTCTGTAAATGACTCAATACGATTGCAGATAATCCGCTCCAACACTTTGCCTGCTGTGTCCAGTAAGCATATTGGCCGATAGGCTGCCGGTCAGTAGGTGCCTTATCGCCCTTCGGAAGAAGGACTAGCTGTTGCTGCTTCCATCGACGGGGGAATCCCCTCTCGTATGCATGCATTATATGCGTGCAAGAATAGATCGGCCGAGTCTTAATAGCGGTCTTAATTGCTACATTTGGGACCCATCTTAATCCGGGGGCTTTGCAATCTTGGACCTTGCCGCAAGCTCTGGAAAATCATCCACGTGACTGCCGAACCCGCTTAGATCTTCCAGACAATCCTTCGGTTGTAACATATCTACCTGGCGAGGAAACAAGGTAGCTACAACTTTTCCCAAGAAAACCGGGCAAGTGGTGGTCGCCTGAACTACCCCTCTGGGGAAAGTTTCCTCTGGGGGGGGGGCCCCGTCACCAGCTTATACGGGCGTCCCCAGGTGAGGTGAATATGTGTGTGTGTGTGTGTGTGTGTAGGTAGGTGTGTGCGACTGAAAGGGGGGAGGAGGGGCAAGGATGATGAAGACAATATTGCGCATGGTTCATGGTCCATTAGTTAGTTGGTATTTGCCCATTATGAAAAAGCACGGAAAACTGCCGATCAGAGCAGCTCTCCTCCAGACGGGTTGAATAAGGTCGAGCTCGTGTCGAAAACCTCCGCCGTCGTGATTTGAACGTCAAGACCTTCCGGTCAACGATACCGCAGAGACAACGTCAGTGGCGTAGATTCAACTGATGTCAGCCGGGGCAAAATAATGAAATCGCCCCCCCTCGTAAATTAAATATAAAAATGTCATATACTGAATAGTTTAATAATTACTTTAAAAATACAAATATATTTGCAACTGCCCTATTTATATATTAAAAACTATGTAATTCGGAATAATTGTAATATAATTTTGAAATAAATAATCTAAAACGAAGTATAACTAATTAACAAGTGCATGTTTTTTTTATAAAAACACTTATCGAGATTTCAGAGCGGCAAACTTATCAAAATAAACAATAATGCATTTAGGGCGGGGGGGGGCATGGTCACCTTATTGCCCCCACCGATCCGTCACTAAGCAAATAAGTATGTTTATTTATTATTTAGTTATTTTTATTAGTTATTTTTTTATTTATCGTACGTATTTTATAAATATATACGTATACTCGTTTTAAAACTTAGGTTGTTTGGTGAAGAACAGTGTCATTATTTCTGTTCAGAGAAATCGTTTTTCAACAGCTCCAAATCCTTATTAAGAACTGTTCGCCGACATTTTGTGTTCAAAAATTTGAAAATGCTCGTATGGAGTAAATTTGTTTTCATGATTTTTATTTTACATATTTTAAATTTATTCTTTCATATTTTTGAAAACATAAGTACATAGTATATATAACTATATATAGTTATATGTATAGTTTTTATTACAACAAATTCCATACTCTAATAATAATATCAATAATAATAATAATAATAATAATAATAATAACAATAATAGTAATAATAATAGCAGTCTTTATATTTAAAACATTAAGGGGCTTTCGTTTAGAAAGAATTTAAGCTTCATACTACATCAAATTTCATGACTTTTGCATTAAATGAAAAGTATTGTTCCTCAGATGCGTTATAGATCGCCATTTTTCACCGGTTTTATAGTACAAAAATCAAATCGTAGAGTTAATAGGATGAAGGTTTATCTGCCGTCATTTGTTCATTATTTTGTTCTGCAAGTTGCTATCGATCGCAGTTTTGTCACATCGGCCAGAAAAGTACGTAGGTTATAGTTATGTGGCTATGTCTGTGTGAGCGTGCTCGTTACAACAGAAAATGAATATCTTATTTACGATGAGGTCTCTACTTTGTAAATACCAGGTAATTAATTCCATGTGAAGGTTTGCTACAGAATCTCCCTCAAGACAATGCTTCTGAGACGATGCTTCAAGACCAGTTAAAATGCACAAAACTCAATGCATGGTTTAATTTAAATATACATATTGAAAACAATTGGAATTTCATTAACCTGAAATATCGGTTAATAATGTGGGTAAAAAGTAATATGGGATAGAAGACAACGAAAATATTTAAAATTCTTGGGTTTACAAAACAACCAGTTTTGAGAGCATCTCTTATTATTGTCAATTTTTGGCAATTTTCCCACTAGTAGTGATAACAATAACAAAATGACGATAACAATAACGATATCAATAACGATAACCTCGACAAAAACAATGATAATAACAATGGCAATGAGACAATGTCAGTGACAATAGCAATAATGATAACTAACATTAATGACAATTACATTATTGATAATAATGACAATAACATTAATGACAATAATGACAATAACATTAATGACAATAATGACAATAACATTAATGACAATAAATACAATAACGATAATAACAACAAAAAGAATGACAATAACAGTGATTGGGCTCGTGTTGTGGCAGATGGCGCGGGCGCGGGCGTGGGCGTGGGCGTGGCTGATGGCGCTGGCGCTGGCCGGGTGGGCGTCGCCCGGCGGGCTGCCGCCGGCGGCCGAGGGCGCGCGGATCTTAGGCGTGTTCGGGCACATCGGCAAGAGCCACTGGGACGTGTTCGAGCCGCTGATGCAGGAGCTGGCTCGCAGGGGCCACCAGGTGACCGTCGTCAGCCACTTCCCGCAGGCGGCGCCGCGCGCCAACTACACCGACATCAGCCTCAAGGGCTCTCTCACTGACTTCAGTCCCGTCGGGCAGATCGACGTCACCGAGATGAAGGTACGTGCTCATATGCGCTAAGGATGCGACCATGATGAAAAGACATGGGTGAGCGGTACGTCGATGTATTTATAATGTCTCGTGACGTTTAATCAGCTATCACCACAGTGACGTTCAAGCTCCCGATTGGATGATACTGTAACGCGTAAGTGCCTCTACAAACTAATCTAAGTACAGTTCGGCGCACCGGTATGTTTTCGTACTGCCCAGCACCAGTTTTGGTCACGAACCACAGCATGGGCACTGCGTTTGAAACAACTGACCAAACGCTCGCCGCCATTTTGCATGGCGAAAGAGATCTGATGAGAAACATTTTGAAAGTGCCATAAGTGACTATTTTCAAGGCTGACCAACAAAACAAAAAAACACGAAGGTGTAATTGAAATAAAAGATGGACTATTATTAAATATTGCTTCGTATATCTGTTTCAAAGACTTGTAACAAGGTGATTTTTGGTATCTGGCTGCATTGAAAATTCTCGCTAATATTGTGACGCGAACTGGTCCCTAAACCTCATTGGCTCAAGCCGGATAAGTTGCGCAACTCGTCGTGACGAGTTGGTCACTACCCTGAAGAAGCCTGCGACATGACAGGCGAAACGTCGGCCTATCTGCCAACGACGCGGCGTCACCCGGACAATCTAGAAGTAATTTGGACTTTTAACAAAAGTTTGTTATATTACTGGATAATTTAAAAAAAACAGGAATAGGAACTTCAGTTACCGACGAAAACTTGATTTAAAATTATTCTCTCTAGGTCACTTTGACCTAAAGAATATTCAACTGGTATACAAATATCTAAAAATTATTACATGTTTTTTATTTCGATGATATATTTTAATTTAAAAATTATATAGCAATAACGTAAAAATATCGAACACAAAACACCGATGTTACAAACATCGGATTCAAAAATTGAATTGTAGGAATTCTGATATGGTATTAACATAATTAAGTAAAGAAGTTATGGAAGTCATCTCAGTCAAATTAATATATTTTTTTAGAGAGCGGGCTTTCGTCGGCTTTGCGGAAATGACTTCCATTATTTCTTCTCTTAAAAATTGATGTTACATCCATAGATGATTTGAAAAATTCGAATTCGGTGTCGCATCCCTAATATGCTCAAGGGTACCACTTGCCCCTCGGCGCATCCAGAATTTTTCATTGGGGGAGCTTAGAAAGAGACAATTTGCAAAGAATTATTCATTTGAAATGATTATAAAATGAATTTTTATTTGCTGAATTCTAGTACAAATTTATAGACACTTGATATACTGTATGGCTTTCGTTAGTACTCGCATAAAAATTTTGTAATTTGTAAACTGACCCGATAAAAAACTGTGGATGGCAGAAAGGCAAAAAATCCTTCCTTCGCATTTCTGCGGAGAAGTAAAGCCGTCTAACCCATGTTGTAGATTTATTGCTTGTAAATAATCTTCAAGCCTAAAAGAAGCATCTAAGCTAAATTTAAATTTCCTGTGTGATACCATATTTCTCCGCTAGATGGTGAAAGGAGCGTAGCGAAATTTGTGCGGTGAGACGGAAGAGCGGGCCTAATGGCCCAAATTCTGCGACGTAAAATAAATCATGAACAAAACTAAACTAAGGCACTGATTTCTTCCGGGTTGACTCTTCTGTTTGGAAGAAGCAACCCCTCGCAATCTCCATCCGCGATTGTCTCGATTGTGCCCGCCCAACGATCGATGGTAACCGAACAAAACTTGATATATTTGTTCATAACTCTTGTTCTCATTGCCGAAAGCACCTCAAAATTGCACTGTATGCGTTTTAAATTATGCTTTATCTGCTGGCAAACTCCGAGTGTCCGACATCGTGAGGGTTGCATGTAAACAGTTTTGATTTTTAGAACAATGAGTTACAAAATGTAGAACGTTTACACGGGACCAGCTCGTAGATTTTTATTACTTTTAAATTCCGTCAGTTATTGACATTTTCCTAATCATCATTAGAAATTATTTTTAACATGCCACATAATATTTTCATTTTCAGTGCAATATTTATAGACTCTTCTTTATTTTAAAATAGAGAGACATAGAACACCAATGGTGTCCCGGATGATACCAATTCTAACACCGCTTTAATGGTTTTCGAACAACCGGATAACTTAGAATTACAGTGACCGAATACTTCATTGACACGGTAGCTCGATATTATTGCAACTCTATCAACTCTACACACTATTAACTTTTCCATCCCTGTACAACAGTATAGCGAGGGAAAGTATTGGAAACGCCGCAATAATATGGTTTCGTATTTGTGGTCATAAAATCCGTGTTCAAGGTTCTTTTAAGCTGTAACTTCGCACTCATAATCGTAACAAATACTATTGGTGGTGTTCTACAGATGATTAAAATTGCTGAAATTATTTCCGGATCCCAGGTAAATCCAGCGCAGATTTAATATAACAGATACTTATTTGTTCCCTGGGCGTTCGGAAACAATGGGAGTGGTATTTTCATTTCACGTTTGCTCTCCCTCCCCAGGTCGACAACATGTGGGACGTGTACAACGAGCACCTGCTGCTGTCGCAGCTCGCGGTGACCGGTTGCGAGGTGGCCTTCGCTCACCCGGACGTGCAGCGCTTGCTTCGCTCCAATGAAACCTTCGACCTGCTCATCACCGAGCTCTTCACCACCGACTGCTACGTCGCCTTCGCTCATCACTACAAGTAAGCGGCAATCGAAGCGTAATATACGAGAAACCGTCTTGGGAGAATGGGGTCCCTGGGTCTGAAATTGCGTGCAGTAAAACCTCATTATCGCGAATTCTAAAAGACATAAATAATTGAAGATCGGGTAATTCAAATTCGTGTTATCCGATTATTATAAATGACCGTATTTCTGTAATCCCTTGCAGGGACCCAAGTTTTGTTCGTGTTGCGGGGAAATTCGTGTTAAGCGAGTTCGTGCTAACGAGGGTTGACTGCAATTAGATTTAGAGAAGTCAGAATTATGAGTTGTTTCGTCACAGAAAATAATTGAAAAATCAAATAGAAATTTGTGAAACGTGTAAGATTGGTGCACAATAGTGCTATATTTATAAAATTTCAAACCTTTTTATATAAAACACTGGTTCTCGAGTTGGAAAATTGTTTGTTTTTATTTGAAATAGCGCACGTAAACTGAGACTCCTTTTGACAAACGTTAAGTTGATGAAAACTTGAATTTTAGAAAAAAGTTTCAAAATTTTCGGGAACTTTCTCCGGTTTTGATGAAACTCCGGGCCTCTGTAGACCTTGCACGAGGACTCTGCACACGGCTGACGTCACAAAGGGAGACGGCTACATTGGATGCCGTCTCAAAAACATCGACTTCGTAGCTTTTCGATAGACAGACCCGGCTCCAAAAAATTACATTCTCATTTTTGTGTGAGAAAACATACAAGAAAAGCAATTAAACAAATTTCTAACGCAGCCAAATCAAATTTCTGACCGATTTCAATCCCTAGCTCGCAATAGACTATCCGAAGTTTCCTAATAGACTATAGTATGCGAAGGTGGCTCTAATGCTCATACGCAGTGCCTTCCTACTCATGTTTCTCGGTCACTCTTTAAAGGCCGTCAAATGCACAAATATTGCGCGTAAAATCTATACTCTGAATTAAATGTACGGCAAATTAATTGCTGTCAGTTGGAACGCGATTATCCAATCGCGAGCTTCCTTAAAACTTACATTTTGGATACTGAAGCTCCCATTTTAATAACCTCGTCCCAGCTGGTCAAAACTCAATTGGTCCTACATTTATATCGGAGTATAACATCAGGGTTTGTGTTACCTGAGATTCCGTCATTAACACTCCGAGTTTCGCGAAACGGACTCGAGTGAAATATTTCGATGCTACCACATGGCCGATTGAACGAACATCCAATTAACCTCTTTTCCAGCATCCCGTACATCGGGCTGAGCTCGTGCATGATGATGCCGTGGGCGTACGAGCGCTTCGGGAACCCGCAGAACCCGGCCTACATCCCCGACCTCTTCCACGCCCACGGCATGCAGATGTCGTTCTGGGAGCGCTGGCAGAACTCGTGGAAGACCCTGCTGAACAACCTGGCGTACGAGTACCTGTACCACCGGCCGTCGGAGCAGGTGGTTCGCAGGTACGACGTACTTTTGTCTGTATTTTTCTTCTCTAGCAAAAAGTTTCTTATCTATTTTAATGAATTTCTTATAGTCTGGTATCTCGCTACTGTTGAACAAATATTCTGACTTTTTCTTCAAAAACTGACACATTAATACTATTTTTCCAATTATTTATTTTGTTAACCATTTCGATTCATTTTTTTAATTCTATTTATTTAAGATCAACAACTGGGTGATTAGCGATCACGAGAATCAATTTATAATTTACACAAGAATAAACATTTTTTACGGTTATGTAATTATATAATTACATACAATTCATACAAGCATATAAATGGTCAAAATGTATTAATCTTGTGAATATTTACATAATTGGGATGGATACACATTTATTTACATTACACAAGTCATTGAAATAATTCGAACCTGAAATTAGTCGGCTTGATGTAAAGAGGGCTTTGGCGAGAGTCAAAAACAATAAAGCTCCAGGACCAGGAAACCTTAGAATTGGAACTTTAAAAATACGGAGCTCTAGTATAATTGAAACACCTCCAAAATCTTTTTAACAGAATTGAAGTTAGCGGTGATATATCCCGCAGGAATGAAATATGTCATACATCAGTTCCATACACAAGAAAGGTGACAAAATTATTTGTGAAAATAACAGAGGAATTAGTGTCATCCCTCAATAGCTAGGCCTATTCGCTAGTATTTTAAAGGAAAAAATACAAAAAGGAATAACTTTCAGCGAAAACAAAGTGTTTTAGAGTGGGAGGTCATGTTTGGAATAACATCCATTGCTTACGCAAGATAATAGAAAAAAATGGAATGCACAATATACATACATATATATGACATTTATTGACCTGGAAATGGCCTATGACAGTGTTTCAAGATGTAAAATTTGGCCAGCAATGAAAGACTGAAATGCAAGAAAAATGGATTAGTTTAGTTACAAAAATGTACCAGAATACTCGAAGCGTGCATTAAAATGGGAGGGAAGTTACCCGAAGCATTAGAAACTAACAAAGGGTTAAAGCAAGGATGTAGTTTATCGTGCCACTTCTCTTTAACATATATGGACACAGCTATTGGACAACTGGTACAAGAAATGTTCTCAAACGGGAGTTCCCATAAATGACAAGTACTTACATTCTTTAGTAGAGAAATGTGGTTCTTCCAAGAGTGCTTTTGGTCGAATATCATGCCCATGATTTTTCAACAGAATGTACGACCTACTTGGTGGTTTCCAATAAAGAGGACAGGATTTTCATTTAAAAGGTTTGAGCTTCTAGAGATTATAATAAATTCCATTTTCGTAGTTCTTGACAGGGAGAAACCTGAAGAACGGACCCATGTTTGAATTTTTTAAAGATTTCTTGGATTATGTTAGTTGTTACAAGTAGATTTTTGCCACAGCATACAATTGAAATATCATTAGCGAAGAGAAATAATTTACTTGGAGCTTCTATGATACTATTTATTTCATTTATTGCGATCAGAAAAAGGAGCACGCTAGTAACTGAGCCCTGAGCGAGGCCATTCATCATGTCCCTGCGTATTGATATTTTATCAAACATGCGTACACGCAGATATCTTTGTTACACCAAGTTTTTTTTTCAAAAAAGCCAGTAAGTTGCCTTTAATATACATTAAAATAAGATTACGTAGTAGTCGGAGTTTAAAAATAATTTCGAAAGCTTTCTCAATATCAAGCGAAGCAACAATTGCATGCTGGTTAATTGCTAGTGCATCATAAATATTTGTGTCGATACTTATTAGATGGTCGTTGCTTGATCTATGTTGTCGAAATCCGTTTTGAAAAGGTGATAGTAAGTTTCTTGTTTCTAGGAGCTTTCTGAGACGGTTGCCTACCATTTTTTCTAGTACTTTGCAAAGAGTACATGTCACTGATTTTAGATGGATCGTTGCCTGGTTTCGGTGCAGCAATTACAAGAGCTTCTCTCCATTGCTCAGGGAAGGGTTGGGAGGTGAAGAGACCATTATAAATTTTTTAGAGATATTCAATGACACATTTAGGAAGATTCTTCAAGAAAATATTAAGAATATTATCAGGACCTGGTGCAGAGTTTTTACTATTTTTTTAAAATGAAGCTCATCCATCAGGATTTGACAGTTGAATGAATAATTCTTGTTACGTAGGAGGGTTTGTATGTTTTTTTGAGTGGCTAGGGATATAGACGGAATTAATTTATGAAAGGATAGTTTATAGTATTAGCTGGAATTGTTGTCGAATGAATATGCCAGAGCATTGCACATGTCTTGAGAACCCTTCTATTTCATTCCGTTTTCATCTTCTAATATTGGAGGTAAGCTAGTTGAATAAGAGCCGCTAATCGATTTTATTGTTTGCCACTGAGTTGTGGATGGAGTTTGGCCCGTAATAGATGATGTAAAATCTTTGAAAGATTGTAGCATTGTATTTTTAAGAGTTAAGTGGGCTTTAGCTCTAGCATTCTTATATAATATGCTCAGTTATATCTGTACATATATTTTCTAAACGCTTTCTTTTTTTCTTTGATGGCTAACGTGCAATTTTCGTTCCAACACGATACTTGACGGTTTCGGATAATCCCCGAAGATTTAGCCGGTGGAGCAGCTGAATCATTTAAGTCTGTAAATATAATTTGGTTAGTCAGATCTGGTGCCCACTCATTTATATCAGGAAGTTTGTTAATGTTATTATCGACATATGATTGAAATAAGGTCCCGTTACCTTCCGTACTAATCCACTTCTGATGAGTGCGGGTAATAGAGCATTTTTGAAAATCAGAGAGGTGAATAAACAATGGGTAATGATCGCTGTCATAAAGATCATTACTAGAAAACCAAGAAATACGAGTTCCAATGGCGTTGGATGAAAATGTCAAATCAATAACATTGCCTTTTGCATATCTAGTAGAAAATAGGTATCATTGCCCGTATAATGAAGAATAATGTTATTATTGTTGTCAAGCCATTCCCCAATAATTCTGTCATTCGATATGTACTAGAAGATCTCCACAGTACATTGTGTCTAATAAAATCTTCCATGATGATAAATGGTTTTGGGAGTTGCTGAACAATGTCATCAATTTAGTGATATTTATATCTTGGCTATTAGGTAAATATAAGTTACAAATTGGGACAGTGAAGTTAATTTTAATTCTAATTGCAGTTGCTTCCAATTGCGTTTGAAGAGGAACATTATGTAAGAAAAATTCTAGTTTAGTATAAATTGCAACGCCACCACTTGTAATGTTGGAATTATTTCTATTACAAAATGTATATCTGTATCCAAACAATGAGTCACAATTTTGAAATTTAAAATTTGTTTCATGAAAGCAGATTATTTTTGTTTAGAATTTGTTTATGAGAAAATCATCTGTGAATTCTCTAGCAATTGCTACAGTACAGTTATTACACTTCGTTCAAAGAAACTTTGGAGTTGATGTATATTTAGTGGGTAGTGGACGTTAGGAGATTCTAATATTGTTTTAATATTGGACCATGACTGATCGTTAACATTTTCAGAAGAGGTTTTAGCTTTTTTCTTATTTTTGGAGGGTTGTTTCTTTATTTTTTCTTTAGTTTCAGTAGTTTTCTCTTCCATGTCAGAGGTTTCCGAATTATTGTCTGGGATTTCATTCTCGCTATCAGATTGGTTGCTAACCATTTCTGAGTTCGAGCTTTCAGAACACAACGGTCTCTTCAATCTGACGGGGTTGCTGGCAAGGTCAACTTCCATTGAGTTTCCTTTCGAGTCAACAGGGTTTTCATGCGGCCGACTCAAGGGGCGGGGTGGTGGGTAGCTGGGGGGGGGGATCTGTCAAGGACATGGTTAAAGCTAGAATTTTCACTTTTGGGAAGTGTTGGTTCAAATACTTTGGGAGGAACATTAGAATTAACATTAGAATTTACAATAACCTCATTAGTTCACTCTGTGATTTCTACTGCCGTAGGGAGAGATAGGGTATTATGTAATTGGGAATTACATGAATTTGGGCAGTTTGTAGCAATATGGCTCTAATTTTTACATAAAAAAACAAATAGGAACATCAGGGTTTATAGATGTTTATATATATACAGTGGGGGACATTATCTATAAACACTTGAAATTATTCAGGTAATTTATGTTCATCATCCGGTGAAACAAATGTTTGACGACGCAATCTGAGGACGTGGCTCAAGTTGGAGTTATGTTTTTTTCTTCTTATATCAGACAACTGATGATGATGGCTAAGCCATCGAAAGCTGCTATTGCATTAAAAAAATATTGTTGGCAATGACAACATCTTTAATTATTTTAAAAATGCCAAAGATATCTTACCACAACACCTATATGGAATTATTAAATCCAGCACGAAGGAAAGTTAACGGTACTACAGTTCTAACACCGAAAGTTAATAATTTTTCTTCTATCACTTGATGAGGGATACTTTGACAAACATTTGAGAGAATAATTCGTTTGTTCCTGAAAATTAATGGTGTTATTGGGACACCTTGATTAGACACAACGATGCTTTTATGATTGAAGACTAGATCATCTGCGATTTCCTTACTGGATAGATAAACAGGTGATTGGTAGATAACGTTTCAATAAATTCTACAATTGGCGCACTATTTGCCGAATCTATGATGATAGCATTTTCTTTCTTAGGAAAGAGAGATTGCATAGTAACTTTAACATAATTAATTGTAGTCTTACTGTTCTGGTTTCCTGAAGATTGATGAACTTGAGAGGGCTCCATGATGGTCACGAAAAAAAGACACTTTTCACTTAGTTAAGCAATATCGCTTCACTAAAGAAAAATTCCACTTCTACCACGTTTTACATGGGACTGACTGCCAAGCGCCGAGTCGGTGAACGCTCGCACAACGTGATTTTGCCCGGAGCGGACGGAGCTTCTGACCTCCACGGCAGTCAGGACGCGACTGCATTTCGATTCTTATTGGGCCATTATAAAAGTTGTGACAAACAAGTCTTGAAGATTGAAACAGATTTTGTCTGTGGGTGTTTCTCGACTGAAGACGTGATTTATGTTGTCTTATCCATTCGCGTCGCGTGGGTGCTTCAAAACTATTTAAATCATATTAACTTGCTCTGAATGTGAATTAGAATAAAAAATGAAAGTTCAGAAACGCTTATAATTGGTCAGTACGAACTGTTACCTTAGCACCTTTTTGAGCTTGTGTGTAAAGAAGCTCATATATATATATATATATATATATATATATATATATATATATATATATATATATATATATATATATATATTCAGAAATTGTTTTGTTTTTAATAAACGGAAGTCGAAAATGGACCTTTCGTTCGTATGCATGTCACGCTGTGCCATGGGAACAATATAACTGATGATCATTAATAATTGGTGCTGCATAGTAGTCCATTTCAAACACTGTGATCCAGCGCTAAGAAATGGTCATGAACTGTGACTATCTTGTTCTTAAAGGAATTTTTTGACATGTGCTCGTCAGTACCGGAGCTAGATACTTTTGAGCCTGGAGCAATGCTGAAATCTAGTCCTCCCTTCAAAAAATTTAAAATGTGAAAGTTGTGTCAATTTTATTTCAATAAATAACAAAAAAAATCGTTATCGACGTTTAACCTAGAAAAATGTTTTGGAAATATATTTTAAACTACAGTTTAAGTAAAAATATTTTGTGATCAAGTAATACAATTTTTACGGCGAGCTTAAATCGCAAAAAAAAAAATAAGTTGGTCTTTAATAAAATCACTAGTTGTTTAGTACATGAAATAATAAATATGAATTTCAGTGGAACCCATTTTTAAAAGAGCGTTGTTTGATTAATTTCATAGAGTTCTCCCTCATAAGTAATGATTATAATTAACTACATAAAGTAAAAAATTAATTAAATATGTTATAAAATACCACACTAATGTACCGCGACATAAAATTCCGGTAACGATTTTCTCGAATTCTATTTTTTTCCTATCTTTTACTATTTTACTCAAGCCTAAATGACGCCTCTGAGCTAAATTCAAATCGCCTGTTTCTCGCCCAAGAAATACCTTCTTTCTCTGCTAGATGAAAGGAGCGTAGCGAAATTTGCGTGGCCAGACGGAAGAGCGGGCCTGATGGACCAAGTCTCGCCACGTAAGATAAGGCAAATTCAAATTCAAATTCAAATTTTTTCCCCATCAGACCAATCATCGGGCCCCCTGGCTTACGCGTCTCCGGGCGATCATCCGATCTGCCCATATCTAGCGCCAGCACTGACCTACGATCACTTCGACTTAACTTCCTCCCAGTTATTACATTTCACAGTTTGTTGTAAAATTTCTGGTCCACCTATACATCAAAACTCACGTTGATTACGCAGATTCATCTACAACATCGTCCACGTGATTTTTTTTAAAAGCAATACCTCTTCGTGTGCGCGCAGGTACTTCAAGGACCTGCCGCCGCTGAAGGAGATCGCGCGCAACGTGAGCATGATGTTCGTCAACACGCACGTGTCGCTCAGCCACGCGCGCCCCTACGTGCCGGCCGTGCTGGAGGTGGGCGGCATCCACCTACCGCAGAGGAAGCCGCTGCCCAAGGTGCGCCACGCGGCTAAGTGGGCGAGCGAGCACCGCGTTCACCCGAATTCCAAGCGTCACCCCTACCCCAATCCCTACTGCCCAAAATGAAAGTCTTTTCACGCCACAATGTACGAGCAAAGGCGCTCGCAGCCTAAAGCACGAGAAGTTTCTGGGCCTTTTTTCGCATTTAACTTTTTTTACTTACACATGTCATATTTTACTAGTACATAAATAAAACGTACTCCAAGGAGAATGAAATTATGATTTTCATTACAAAATTAATAAAAGTAATTAATTTTACATTTAACCATTTATAAAGTTACTAGATGACTAGGAGAGCCTCTTGCCTAATTGACCTATAACAATTTCCCAAATTTTAGGTAAAAAGATGTAAATTAGGAATTAAAAATATAACGGAAATAAAATATTTAATTTTATTTAAGATTATTTAAGATTAAGGTGTACTTTTCAAAATGTTCAAGGGGGCACGACGAATGCATTTTGTGGCATGATTCGTTCACGCGGGCGGTCACGTATGATTCGTTTACCCGGGAGTATATATGGAAGAGAAAAGATATGGGGTAAACAGAAGGCAACCAAAATGAGGGATTTCTGGAAAACGTTAAGAAAATATACAAGCTAAATTGTTTTTAAAGAGAGCATTCGCATAAATGTGATGGTAATTATGCGTTTTGTATAAAATGCGCTAGTAATTATTCGTTGGATAGACACAAGGATGTTAACGCGACGGCCGAAGATCCGGGCCTCGTTCTCTACTTAAAACTGCGTAGCGAGGAGTTACTTTTATTCTTTCCGCGCGAAAGAACGCCGCGCCGCAAGTGACTCATTCTCGGAGTTGACAGCGCGCTTGAACGAATCGTGCCCAAAAATTTCAAACTGCATTTCTACCACGGAATGCTTCGCAGGACGTGAAGGAGTTCCTGGACGGCGCGGGCGAGGAGGGCGTGGTGTACTTCAACATGGGCTCCATGATCCGCGCCACCTCCATGGCGCCGGAAAAGCGCCAAGCTTTCCTCGAGGCGTTCGGGCGCCTGGGGCGGCGCGTGCTGTGGAAGTGGGAGGAGGCCGACATGCCCGGCCAGACGCCCAACGTCAAGACCAGCCGCTGGCTGCCGCAGTTTGACATCCTGAGTGAGTGCACACAGGCGACGACTCGCGATACTTTTGATAAGAGTTCACGCGCGGAATCTCTGCTGTCAGTGACGTCGCAAAGGAGAATGGCAGTTGACTAAATTCCGCCTCGAAACATCGACTTCCTAGCTTTTTGACAGGCAGTGTCGCCATCTAAAACAACATTTTATGTTAGAGAGCACCCAATATCAAAGTATTTGGACTGGCGGGACCATCAGTTGCTACGATGTCGGGAACGAAAGAGCCGAAAGCTTTAAAAAAATCGCTTATCCGAAAACAAAAATGTTGTTGGTTAATTATTAACACTCCTACAATTCATTTAATATAACTTGTCAAAGAATTTAAGAATCATTTCAAGGGTAAAAACAGTGATACAAACCTCCAAGAGACCCAGAAACCGTTCTCCTGAACTAATCTGTCAAAAATCCTTCTTACGCTAAAAAAATACTTTTCTTTGGAGTGGAAACAAAGCCGGCTGACCCACGTTGTAGGTGTACTGCATGTAAAATATCCTCAAAGCCATAAGAAGCCTCTGAGCAAAATTCTAATTACTTGTTTCGTTGGCTGAGCAATACCTTCTTTCGTAGTTAGATTGCGAAAGGAGCGTAGCGAAATTGGAGTTGGTCAGATAGAAGAGCAGGCCTGATGGCACGAGCATCTCCATGTAAAATAAGGCATCATTGAATGGAATGGAATGGAAATGCTTAAAAGCTCCGGGTATCTCTTGTCCGTAGACCACCCCAAGGTGAAGGTGTACATCGGGCACGGCGGGCTGCTGGGCTCTACCGAAGCCGCGCACGCGGGCGTGCCCATGGTGGCCATCCCGATCTTCGGCGACCAGCGCGCCAACGTGCAGAACCTCCTGCAGGCCGGCATGGCGCTCAAGCTCGACTACCACGACGTCACGGCCGACAGCGTGCTGGCCGCGCTGAAGGAGGTGCTGCAGAATCCCAAGTAGGTCGCTCCATCTTTTTCTTCTCCACCTCCTCCTCCTCCTCCACATTCTTTCCTGACTAATCCCCCGTCTTCTTTCTCGCTTTCTCACCTTCGTATCCTTCGACTCATCATCTCCGTCGCATCCTACATCTTCTCTTTCTCGTCCGCCACCACGTTCTTTTTTGTCTTGTCCATCTCATTTTTGATCTTTTTCTTCTCCGTCACATTTTTATCTTCTTCTCCGTCTCCTTTTCGATCTTCTCCGTTTCCGATACCTTTGCAATCTTCTTCGACTCCGTCTCCTTTTCTATCTTGTCTGTCTCTTACACCGTCTTCTTCTTCTCCGTCTAGAATTTGTGAGCAATATGACTGTAGGTGTGTGTATGTGGGATAGTTTACTTAAGATGTTCCCTTCGAATGTCTCCTTACCATTGCGGATATTGAGATGCAATTTTTACTAAAATATATGTATGCAAATGGCACATATATGTATAATTTTAAAATAGTTTTAGTTTTATCATTTAAGTGATTTTGACAAAACATTTAATATTTGTTATTGGAAACTTACATCTTTTGTAGTTTCACAACTACAGTAGAAACAACTCCATGTAGTTTCGTATTTATGAATGTATGTGGTATGTGTATGTATATATGTATTGTATGTATGAATGCATGTATGCACATGTGTGAGTGTAATGCGACTTTGTGTGTGGTTGTGAAAAAACAATAATAGCAAAGAAAGCAGAAGAAAGTGCGTATACAAACTGCAAACTGCATTTATGCAAACTGTTTTCCTCTGCCTTTCAGAGACGCGTGTCATGATGACGTTGGCCCGACCCCATTTCCTCTCATTCATTGGGCGCTTGTGTCGCAGGTACCGCGAGGGCGCGCGGCGCGTGTCCGAGGCGTTCCGCGACCGGCCGGTGGGGCCGCTGGACGCCGCCGTCTTCTGGACGGAGTACGTGCTGCGGCACAACGGGGCGCCCTTCCTGCGCAACGCCGTCGCCGCCGACCTGGCGTGGTACCAGCGCTGGCTGCTGGACGTGGTGGCCGCGTCGGCCGCCGCCTTCGTCCTCGCCGTCCTCGCCCTTCGTGCCCTCGCCGCCCGCCTCCTGCCCCACGGCCCCACCGCCCACAAACTCAAGGGCGAGTGATCTCTTGGGATGGCAAAAAAAAATCATCGATTGTTTTAAAACAGCGATATTTTCCATCAAAAACATCGATATCATAACATCGATATTTTGATTTCGATATTTTCTTCAGATCGATATACTATTTATTGAGAAACATCGATGTTTTCAAAAGAACTTTTTATGGTATAAATGTTCCAGGATCTATTTTATCTGTGGATTGCTCGCAATCAACAGACATTGGTGACTGTCTCTGTTGTCGATCCCCACGCGGCACTAAATCGTTTGCTATTCGCAACCTTCCTCTAGTGTTGTTCCTGTTTTGATTATTTGGTACGTGGTACTGTCGTTAAACTGCAATTTCAACTTTAAATACACAGAGCTTTGATTAGAAAATTAAGATGACAGTCAAATTTGAGATAAAATATACTTTGAGCTAATAATGACGTACTATGTATCACAATAGAACCAGGACGTTTTACTTCGAAATGTTTCGTAATATTTAAAACATCGATGCTTTTTGTTGACGTTTTCATCGACATCGAAAACCTTTTGGTGGTGTATCGAAGTATCGATGTATCGATGTGTCAATGTTTAGCTAAAATTTGCCATCACTAGTGATCGCCATTCCGTTTGGAGACGGTTGGGCGCGTTCTTCGTTTGTGTTAGGATGCGTCCACGAAGTGAAATTGCATGCGCGAGGTTAAAAGACGCAACAAGCTATGGAGAGATTACTCTAAGAAGGGAGCGCTTTGGCAGCTACCGTTTGTCTACTGCTGACAACATAACTGCAGGTTATGTCCATGGCTCAATTCGTCAATGCGTTCGTTTGCAGATAGTTTACTTGTAAAATTGCTTCGACCAAACTGGTCCCTTCTTAGAGTACCTTTTCTGTATTTGACGCGTATATGCTCTACGCTGCCCACACTGTGCCTCCTTGTCGTTCACTGGATGCATGACTGAATGCACTGACGGCATGCGTGGGATTTGCACTTGCAACCGACGAAAGAACAATAATGGTAGAGTGTTTTTTAAGAAGAACGTTCTTTTTAAGAAACTTAGGACCGAGATAATTATATTTTAATTTGAGTAGTAATGTCGTTGTTTTATTATGTTTTGTGCTAAAGTCACAACATACAACATTGTGTTCTTTTCGTCATTCATAACTTCAGTCAAGTAATCTTCATTAAATTAAATGTTATTCTCATTTCCGGAAAGGGACATAGTTATGATGGTGTTGCATTTTTCCCACAAGACTTCAAATAAATTCTCGGTTATCCGGGAGACGCCGCGTCGTTGGCTGGGAGGCCGACGTTTCGCCTGACATGTCGCAGGCTTCCTCAGGGCGTCACTGCACTGCGACGCAGCGTCTCCCGGATAGCCGAGAATTTATGGATTCGAGCCGCGGAAGCCCACGTGTGCACAAGACTTCAACCCTATCTAGTGTCAAAAGTACCTAAAAACGACATCACCGGCGTTATAAATGCAGGTTTCTTTTTCTGAAGGGTATCTGTTCTTCGAAGAAAACGCGCAGTGTGATTCAGTCTTCGCGAGGAAGCCGTGTGCTATTTCATGCGTCCTTTCATTCCAAGAAAAGACACATACGCGACGCGCGCTATTGCATGCGACATATGTATTCCCCATACGTCACAGATTTTACCATTTTTTGACAAAAAATCAAATCAGATACATGGACAGAATTCAAAGAAAAGACACATTATGTGAGCACAGTCGTAGACCTTTAAGATACAGAATGTAGAGCAACAGGGATGGCCGCTGCCATCTAATATCTTCTCATCAATCCATTAGCCTCGCCATGTAGCGTTTAGAAATTGAGAAAAATCTATAAATTTAAGACATTATGGAGTCTGTAGAGTGTGTTTATATTAATGTTGGGTTCATTTGTGGTTACCAACATACACAATAACGTACATTTCGAATTCTCCGGCAGATTCGAAGGCGGAAAGGAAAGCGCAATTTTCTGTAAGAACTGTTTTCATGATCATAAGCCCTAATACTCTGGCGTACGCTATACTTCCGATTGGGCGAACAAACCTTGAATTTGGGGCTTGTTTCACTATCCTTTTTGTAACGTTTGGTGGTACATTTGTTTTTGCAACCAATAAGTTCTGGATATTAGATAAATGTTGTCATGTGCAAAGTGATGATCCCGATTTGGCAAACATGCCATGAGCTGAACTGAATCATTCTTGCAATCAGATTAAGACTTATTTCGTATTTGTCACCAATATGCACTGAACATAGACAAGTATCTCATAATACGTTATCCCTTTAGATTTGATAAACAAGGCTCGTTGTGTCGCTCTCAATAAGCCGTCATTTCTTTAACCAAACTGAGAGCATTTTCGCTTTTATAATCAAATACACAGCAAGAATGTTCTATTTTGTTTGTTAACATATGAGATTGAGATTTCTGGACGGTTCTCTTCTTCTGTAAACTTGCAAAACAATGGATGAGCAACGAAGCGATGTGTAATGTTTCTTCTTTTTGTAGAAAACTTTATCATTCTTATACTTTAACTGAAAATTACTCATCTCTTTGGAAGGAGAAACATGCCTGACTTGTAGGAAAAATTATAAAGCGAGAGACATCAACGTTTCTTTTGTTTAGAAAACTGGTAAATTAGTTTTTGTAACCAACAGACCTGAGATTTTCTTCTTGGCATCTTTTCTGCGATTTTCAGTATAAGTATCTCCCTTCATTTCCACCACATCATCTTCTTAATCGGTTGTGCTTATCGGCCAATGCTATCTGTCGATTTTGATCCCCTTCTCAACCACATCAATATTTTATTGCAAATGATGATTTTTCTCACTATAACAAGTAAACATGAGGCAAACAAGGCAGTGGGTAGGTATCTAGAAACGCCTCTTACCTTTGTAACCAACAGTCGACGTGGGATCTTTTCCTAAGGCAGTAAGCAAGATTGGCGTCCCACGTGTGTTCCTTAAAAAAACTTTTTAATCTTCCTCGTCGATTTCTTCTTTTTGTGGCATGATCAAGCTCAAGGACGGTGCGAGACACGAGAGGACAATACCTCTAGGAGAAGTTGGATTTTCCCCTCCTCCCTGGCACCAAATAGCCTGTCTTCTGCCGTTCCTGCATCCAGTTCACATACTCATCCGAGAATAGTTTGACAGGCGAACTAGTCTTCCGTGACTCCTCCTCGCTCCCTGCCATAAAAAGGAAAAAGAACTGGCTTTTTTTTCAAATGAATGGAATATAGATTATAACAACGTCGAAATGAGAGTACTGCATTTCGAAAACATATGCTGAAAAGCTAAAATAGTTCAGCTGGTGAGGTTGACACAGAAAAATGCGGTTTTGTGATTTGGAAATAATCTCCAGGCGCGCGTACATTATTTTTATTTTCCTGAACACTCTACAAGGAAATGGCGCGATGTGACCATCTACTGCCTAATTCTTCTTTCAATCGGAAGGACTAGCTTATTAATCTCACTATCAAACTTTGTGGGTGCCGCAATCATTAAAAACATCCTGAATTTGCAAATTGGCCATAATCTTTCACACCGATTTAAAAATGGCCACTCTGCAAAGCAGGCGTTAACTAGGCGCTCTTCGCTTATGAATTCAATACCACTGCTGGCTTGCAAAGCGCAGACTGCTTCGAAAGGTGTTTCTGCGAGGAATTAGGCGGGAGGCAGCTGGCCATCCTAGAAGCTAAGAATAAGATAAATACTAATACACATAATATTACTATACATAAGGTCTCAAACAATTTAATACTACTTTTTCCGAATTTAGTTTTTATCTGTTTTCATTTTTTGTAAGAAATACACTTCAGACCGCAATACACACCTTGCCGCAACCGTTATCTTTCCATCAATATGAGCTATCCTCTTGGAGGCTCTTTCCTCACAAATTTCAGCGCTCTGTCTGCGTTCCGCGAAACATGTCAGTTGTGTAATCACACGCGAGAGGCTCGGTGCAAGCTGAAAAAGTGCGATTAAAGTGTAATGTCTTTCGGAATTTTCGAATAAGAAAAATTAATTTATGACACAAAGTAGGCACAAATTAAAGACGGTAATTTCTGCGAACAAAAAACCAAATGAGGGCCATGACATATGAAATGTGATTCACAAAAGCAACTCTTAAATATCTCTTCTTACATAATTAATATATTAAAAGTGATTCAGTAGTTTACATGACACATGATTTCATACTTTAAGTAATTTGCATGATTGACGATGTTATCAATAAAAAAGTAACAAACTTTTCATTGGGTAAAGAAAATAAAATATCTGAATAACAAAGGGATTTTACAAATTGGAGAAAAGCATTGAGTGTACTGGAAATGGCCCTGCTCTCACTGAATGTCATTTGACCTTGAGGAAACAACCTCTACAACACCAACCTCGCAACTGCGCGTCAGGCCGCTCGGCTTGCGATCTCCGCGAGAGCTTGTCCGGGCAGTTTCTTTTGCAGAAACGAAAATAGTACGCAAATGTTGGCCAAAATTCGAAATTTTTAAAGTAATTGGGCAGTATGTAATTCGGCAGCCAAAATTTACATCATGTGTATCAGAAGGGCATATTAATTCAATGAAAAAAAGTATGAGGGCGGTGTCTTCGACATGTCGCACGACGCGGCATCCCCGTGTAAGTAGGATCTTCTCTTACCAAGAAAATAGCGACAGATTTGTTTAATTGCTTGGCAAAATATTGCCCCAAAATACGACATCCGTTCGGTTATTATTAGCACCAAGCTTATAATACTAGCAAGAAAAGTTTAATTATGTGAGAAATTTATATCAAATACCTTCATAATAGACATTTTAAATCCTGAAATGGACAAATACGATGAATTAATTGATGTTCTTTTTCGTTCTTGGCAACATAATGTGCTCTCACTAACTCTACCAGGAAATTCATAAAATTCCATCCAAAAATGAAACAAAATGTAAGCTAGTTTGACAGTAAAAAACAGCAAAATGTATTGTTTCGTAATAATCACCCACTTCCTGAGTACGTCGTCAATTTAACGTGGTTTTCAGCTCAATAACTACGAATTTGACATTAAACCTCGTATGAAATGACATTGAGTAATTTTGTTCCAATGAGTACTCCCAGCTTTGCTTCCTGGCAGTCTCCTTTACATTTTCAATTTTATTTTTTTGAGTCCCGACAATGAGTGATGAATTCAATTGGTGAACACTTTCCCAAAAAATATATGTCAATTTTCAATATTATAAACTTGGTAGACAAAATTCGTACTACTCTTGAAGAAATATTGTACTCATTGTCAGTTTATTAGACAGAAAAAATAGTCTGAAAAATCATTGGAACATAATATATTTGGCTGATGGTAAAGGTTAGTGAAAGGGAATATCAAAGATCGTTGTAGTAGAAAATTTTTTGGCAATGATGATGATGATTATGGTAATGATGATGATGTGATTAAGAAGACTGAAATGTTGAATTTGAAGAATCAGTGCATTTAAATATAAAGTTGATATATTTTCACAAGTTGATTAAAGATGTTTTTTTTTTGTTTTTGCATTTTCTTATGTGAAACTAAGACTGTTTGTAAAGATTATATTACGTAATTGCCAGTGGCATCTGTTTGATACTTTCCTCTAGTAGTGAATATTTTGAGAAAACTCTCAAAATATCTACTCATCAAGAGTGATTCTAAGAAAGTTTTGTAATTGACAAATTGCATCTCGTAAAAGAGAGTAGGAAAATTTGAAAAACCTGAAAACATGCAGAGAAGGAAATGTTATTATATCAATTAATATTTTCAAGTACAAATAAAATGACCCAATGAGAACATGAACAGACTTTTTGGCAACCCACATCCATATTCAT